TCAAAAGGTTCAAGGTTAGAAGATTCTTTATGATACTCAAAGTAAATCTCTCGAAGCTTAATACCATGAATGAGTAAATGAAGTAAAGTTTGCTTTGGTATGCGAAAAGCGGGGGAAAAAGTGCAAGATAAATCGATCTTTTGTACGAAATTTGCGTAATTAACGAAATTATACTCGGATGAGGATAATGTGTTTGAGATTAAATGCCAACGTAAGGGGGTTTTCGCTGTACTTCCCCAATAACATTCACCTAAATTCTTCCAAACCAATGGAATCGTTAAAGAAAAGAATTTATGATTTTGATACCGACAATTTAATAATGATGGATAATCCAAGTATGAAATCATTTGCTCAAGTAATTCGGTTGGAAGCTTTGCTATGCTTGTCATACTTGTAAAGGAACGAGGGAGGTAAGATTAAGAGGAGGGGGAGTTAGGAAAAAAGAAAATAATAATTAACAAAGGATATATTTTGTTTGATATTGCTATGCTTAGAATTGTACCAAATAGACAAATGAATAATGGATAAACTTTTATTAAAGAAAGAAATCGTTACAAGCAAAAATAAAAAAGGTAGATTTTTTTAAATAATGAAAGGAGATTTTAATATTATGACGAATGGCATGAATTTATGCAAATGCATATGTATATGTGTGCTACAAAAATAATTCATTACGTCAATCATAATATATTACATAATCCGAAGAGTTATCGACTCCTATAATCATAAAGAATTTCTAAATATAAACATTTCCTTTCTCCGTTCAGTAAAATTCTCTCGTTTGGTGCACGGTTTTCGTTCATTATCATAAATATTGATTTTTTGTATGGGGGATAGCATTTAACTTTTTAGATTCGGTAACCCATATTTTATATTGGTGAAATTTTCAGGTACATAAAATATGCAATCCTTCATTTGAGCCAAAAAGTTTGAATAAAGACTTTTTTTTAAGATCATTTGAAATAAACGTGCTATTAAACCATAAAGTTTTAAATTTCGTAAAAATCAAACGCAAATAATCGTACGCGTTACATAATTTGATGTTTAAAATTTTGTGTACATATAAATTCACATGCGAAAATACAAAAGTTTTCCCCTTCAAGAATTTAATTAATAATCAAACCCTCATCGCAAAACCATCTTGGAAGAATAATACATTTAATAGATGAAACAAAAAAAAAAAAAAAAAAAGAAAATTAAACGTTTGAAAATTTTCTTTCGATCTGATCAAATTTGATTTTCACAAGCCTAATTTATCACCTTCGCACGTTCCATATTAAGCTTACAAACAATATATCCTGAATAATGCATATGGACCTTTTTTATATATATTTTTGGAACGTATTGTTCATAAAGGATAATTTCCTCAAATGTTTCATGAAGTTAAAAAAAAATCAAAATGAAAATCTGATTGGACTGAATTGTCAACATCATATACGTTGGTGTCACAGCAATCATGAGATCGTCGTTAATCCTCATAAAGAGTACGAATATTTTTAGCTTCAATGCAACCTTGGCCGTTTTATCGAGTGCATAAAGGAAAAGAAACAACGTTTTAAGATTTATATAACAACGAAAAAAAAAAAAAAAAAAATATTTAGTCGGATGGAAGCATTGACCAATGAACGATCAAATGATGGTGGCCGTAGTGGATAATTTCCAATAATGGGTTTCAAAACAATGGAACTTTTTTCCTGTAACTATAATTAATATACAAGATAAAAAAAAATCATAATGATAATAAGATGGTATTATAGATTAATTAATATAAATTAATACAAAAATATAAAGAGAAGGGCTTTGTCATTTTCAAAATAACCCTTTTTTTTATTTTTTTATTTTTCTTCAAAATAAAAAAAAAAAAGTCATCTTTATTGGGCGAGTGAATGGAGTAATATTCTCTGCTTCATTAATAAAAAAAGCGTTTTTTTGATCAAAAACGTCTTTTTTCATTTTTAAAGCATCAAAATTCGTCTTCTGACTTTTGAAAAGTCTTTTTTAAATAAAAATTAATTATAGACTAAGGGCTGGTTATTTTCCCTTCAAAGAATTTACTTCAACTTTGAAATTTATTTCATTTAATTTTCTTTTTCTCGTCATATTTTTGAGTCCTCCTCTTTCATTTAATATCATCCTGTAAATTAATAATAATACTAAACATAATTCATTATGGCATCATCTAATAATAATAATTCATTGCCGATTCCCAACACTTCTGCCATGTTGATGGAAGAATTTCGTGGATTAGAAATATATGCTAGTTGCGCCATAGCAATATATTTTTACGAATTAATTGCATCTAGCTTTAAACTTGTCAAATGGTATAAAGCTAAATTGTGGACAATCCCCGAAGTGGTTTGTTTGTTTCTAGAAGTGTGAGTAATTCGGAGGGTGGCGCAGCAACCCCTTTTTCATTTTATCATAATTTTATTTATTTATTTTTTTTTTTGAAAATAAATCTCATTCGAAAATTTTCTTTTATCTTAGGATATCGACAGTGATATATTGCATATTAACATTAATCTTTTTACATTATACATTGCATACCACATTATCATGTACAATATTATTTCTTTTACAACAAAGTTTTTTTACTATAAGTACAAGCTTTCATTGTTTTATATTGTTAATACGATTAAAACAATATTACCCGAATAAGACGTTTTTAATCATATCATTATTTTTGTCCGCCATGATAATATTGATCATTTTTTTAATTAACATCGTGGAATTTGATGGGGTTGGTGTTAATAATCAAGATGGGAATTGTTATCTTTCGAATGCGACCGTAGGAGCACAATCGCTCTCGATCGGATTTGTCACGTTAATGATTTATTGTTGGGTGATTTGGTCTTCTGTAGTTTACGCCATGTATTCTATTTGTAATTCACCAAATTTTGGTAGAAGTAAATATTGGCATAGAATCTTGTTCGACAATGTAAGTTATCCCATGAATCTTTTTTTATTTATTTATTTTTTTTTTATTTGGAGAAAATGAAATCGCAAACTAACGCATCAACTTTTTGATTATTATGAAAAATAGGGTTTAATTTATCTAACATTAATAGCATTGTCACAAGCAATTAATGTAATAATGATGTTGGATGGTAAAAATTACTTGGGAAAAATTGTAAATGTAACCCCATTATTAGTAATAACTTCGATTTGTTTACGAAAATCATTAGTTAATACAAAGTCAATGAATGATAGAGATAGGACTCACTTACCCTTCTTTCATCCCTCCACCAAAGATAAGAATATTAATGATAGATCTATCAAAAACATTGATGTTCAATATCCTACACCACAAGAGCCATTTACCACATATCAACCTTATCCGCAAGAGCAAGTTAGAATGCCTTCACCAACGTTTTCATCATTTACTTCATCAACAAAAGTGGATTCCGTCCCTCCTTCATTACCTCCAATAATAATACACAAAAGTGCCACATATAATTCAAATGTTGAGTATAATGCAAGACCTACATCTCCTGATGTACAAAGAATAACACAAGATTTTGGTAGTTCATTAATGTTCTATTTAAATGCTATTACTCGTGATTCGAATCCAAATGGAATAAAATTACAAAAAAATAAGGATAGAAGAAGTAAGATCAGTAGATTAAGTAATTTAAGTATAAATAGTTCTCATCTCAGTTTAATCGACAAAGGAAGGATTAGTCAACAAAGATTTAGCCAAGATACAAGGAAAAGTCAACAAATTCCTATTTTAGTTGATCCTAGCGAACTTTTTTATTTTACTTACAGTAATGAAGAAGATGATGAAGTCTATTTATTCCCTGCCATTCCCGCCCCACTTGAATTGCAACAACAACAACAACAACAGCAACAGCAAGAAGGAGGAGGAGAAGAAGAAGAAGAAGAAGAAGGAATGCCTTCCTTTTCTAACTATAATATAAGGAAAAGTAATGAATCATTAACTTTTCCTATTCATCATCCTTCTTTTGGATTTTCTGCTACAATCGTTACGGATGATGATGATGATGATGATGATGATGGTGTTGATGAAAATATATTCGATCATAAAAAGGTCGTTTAGGGCCAGTGATGCTCAAGGCATATTATTAAAAATATATCATGAAGGTCACGAATCATCATCATATCAAGGTTGACTAAACGATTACGCCTATTAAAAAAATAATTAATAAAATAACGCAATGTATTTGTAATTTGAAAGGAAAAAAAAATATAATGTATTATAGTTTGTAATGGTTTAGGAAAAAAGAGGTTGGTTTTTCTTTTTTGTAATATTAAAAAGTAAATTAAATAAATTAATTTTTTTTTAGAAAAAATTGTACTTGTAACACGATCGAATTTTTAAACGTCAATCTTTGCCCAATGTTGTCACATGGTTTAATAATGAACCAATTGAGCTCGTGGCTTTTTTTTTTTGTGTTCGTATCGTTTATTCTTTTTCTTCCATTTTGGAAAACTATAGAAAAATACCTATTTATGGAAGATTTCAATTAAAAAAAATTTTTCTTATAGATGAATAAACGTGGTTAGCATTCTTCGGAAATTATTTTAAATCCTTTTCCGTTTAAGTCATTCTACTAGAAAAAAAAAAACTGTTTCTTTTTTTGACATTTTTTTATTTATTTTAATGATCGTTAAATTATCAAAGACTGACGTAAATGAAACCGCATTTTACAGTCATTTAAATGCAAATAAAATGAATATAATGAAATTTATTTTCAATTAAATTTATACAGTAAATTAAAACGAAAAAAAAAAAAGATATGATGATATCTATATGTAAAAAAAAAACTGTGCTTCAAAGAATAGTAAAATGGGTTTTCACAAAAGTAATTTAATATTCATATAAGCCCAGTTTCTAATATAACTAAGAAAGAGAAATAAAAAAAGATAAACGCAAAAATATTTTACAAATTTTTTTTTTTTTTTAAAAAAAAAATAACCTGCTCTGCACATTATTTCTATATATATATATATAAAAAAAAAAAAAAAAAAAAAAGTCTTTAGATGAAATCGCTCCTTGCCCTTCTCCCATTTGGTCTCTTGTTGCTAGCCATGAAATAATCATCCTTACTAACAAAATTATTTACAAATCCATTAAAACCATCCGTTTTTTCCCATAAAGTAGTCATTTTAGGAGAAATCTTTGACGTTGGCAATTTGTTTTGTTTACTTTTATGAAGTTTCTTTCCATTATGATTCTGATGTAGTTTTATATTAGAAATGTCCTTTGTATCCTTTTTGTTGTTCTTCTTATCGTTGTGAGGAATTTCTCGGGTAAACTTCCTTACGCCCCATTCTATAGTGTCTAATAGGAAACCACCTGAAAATTCTATTACCAAGAATCCTAAGCGGATCGCTACAACGAAAAGAGCCAGAAAAGAAGTAATTGCCGCAAATGCAGTAAAGGTTCCCAATACGCTGAGAATAAGTGGTGCACAGAACACTAGTGCTGGGATGAAGATATAAGGTGATGGCATTTGTGTATTTGATTTAAGACAAGAGAGGAATAATTTTATTTGTTTGCTTGGTAAAAGGTGGTATTTCAATAAAATAAATTTGTGATGTCAAATATATTTATTGATATTGGAAAGGAGAATGGGATGAAATATTGAAAAAAAAAAAAAACGTACGATATTTATTTGAATCAAAAAAAAAAAAAAAAAATCTTGGGGAAGTGGGGTTAGCGTAGCACCAAAGAAAATGTTTGGTTTATTTATATAAAAAAAAAAAAAATTAATTTTTTGACGTGATTATTAATAAGGAAAAACTTGTAAAGAAACAGGTAGTTTCGTAGAACCTCTAGTACTTATATGTCATATGGCTTGATATGAATGTAGTGAAATGTTTAACACGGGGTTGTTTTGATAATTTGAATAATTTGTCATGTACTTCAGATGGCATGTGATGCGTTATTTAATATCGTGACATCATGTATTAACTGTAAAAAGAGAAAACCGTAAATTAGATGATGATGAAGAAAAAGATCCCATTCTCTTATCTTTGATTCTTTAATCCATTACAAGTAAGAGATTCAAAACTTATCTTATCTCAATCAATTTCCAATTAATGTAAGATTTAAAGTAAAGTATATGTATATAATATAATTTATATTCAGATTAAGTTATTCCTATATATAGAAGTCGCTTATAAATTTTTTTTTTTGGTACGAATAAAACAGATGGTAAAATACTAATTTGACCATGTTTGGGGTTTTGTCAAAAAAACAAAGAAAAAAAAAACGACGTACAAATCTTGCCTCACCTCCCATTTCGATAAGAACTTTTTTTTTTTGTACACTATAAAGAAAGCATATCAGAAAATTAAAGAAAGCTCTAGAAAATGTACACGTGACAATGCTGCGCATACTCGTACATTGAAAAATGTGAGGATTTGAATGGATACTTTCTGCAGATATAAAAATAAAGTGGTTAGTTACACTTACGTGTATGCCCGCTTTGAATATGACACAACATGTCGATTTTTTATGTTACTTTCGTTATGTCAAGTAAACGTGTATTGCATACTAGTCTAATTATAGGACGCGTACATAACATTTTATGCCCTCGGAAAAACTGCGCAACACGTAATAATTTCTTGGAAAGAAAATTTTCATGTTCGTGTATTAATTTAATACTAATGATGTATTTATTTTCTCTCTGTCTGATGATAGAGTAGTGATGATGTTAGCAGGTAGTATATAAGGTATATAATATAGTAAGTACTCATGTGTGCGCGAAAATTGTGATAATATTATTAAATATGCGGATTCCGCAAAATCACACATTGATTGATTCCATGTACGCATATCATGTATTAAAATTAAAATCTTAATGTGCAATAAATACTACATTAGATTCTTGTCGTTATGTGATTATTAATGTTAAACAAACTTTATTAATATTTAAAAGACTTTCAATTCAGATTATAGAACTTTTTAATTCTTTTAACATGCAGTATTTGCTTAATCAATACTAATTTATATTTTAAATACATCACATAAAAAAATTTTGTTTCAAAATAAAATAATTGATAATTTTTAAAATATAAAAATAATTGGATACTTTATTAAATATTTATTTTATCTGTAAAATTTGAAAATTTCAATGTTAGCTACTATTACTAAAAAGAAAGAATAAAGATACTGTAGTTATTTATTATTACGAATAAATATTAGGATCTAACCTTATTAATATAATATATAAATAAAAATTTAATAATTAATTAATTATAATTATTTATTTTTATAAATTGCAATCTTATAAATTAAAAATTTAATATCTATAATAATTCCATAAATTTCATATATTTAATAAATAATTTAAAATTTATAAATATTTTAATTTATTTATAATGTTTAATTTTTTATTTATTAAAAATAATAATGTTATTTTTAAATAATAGAATTTTATTTAAATTTAATTGTAATCTTTAATCAAATTATATATAATAATTTATCATATTTTAATATTAGTTAAAAACATATTTAATAATATTTTTTAATTAAAAACTAATTTATTTTCTATTTGATATCAATTTGATTAGCCAAAAAGCTATATATAAAATATTAAAATATTTTATTATATTTTAAAATAAATTATTATATAAAATAAATTTTGATTTATTTAAATAATTTTAAATATAAATAAATTAAAATAAAATAAACTTATATTTTGATCTATAAATTTTTTACTAAAAAAAAAAAAAACTTTTAATAAAATTATTATAAATAAATATAATATTATAATATTAAAAAAAAATTTCTAAGTTTATATAAGGTATATATACCTATCTAGTGATAAGACTTAAAAATTATTTCAGATTAATAATAAGTTATTAAGTTAATAATTAAATTATTAATACTAAAAATTCTTATTATCAGATTTAATTTAATCACATGATTACACATTTATAATAAATCTTCTGATAATCCAAAAAAATAAAACTTGAAAATTTATTTATTTTTATCATAAATTACAAATTTAATTTTTTAATTAATATTATTTCGATTAACTGTAAATTGAAAATTTCAGTTAGAATAAGCAGCTGATTATTATTTGAAGTAAAAATGTTAACATCATCTATAATTCGTTCTGATGTTTATTCTAAATTATTTATCATTTCATCTATATCTACACTATCGCCATCTATTAAATCATTATCAACATCACCATTATTAAATTCATCATAAACTTTTAAAACATTTTGAGTTTTTTTAGACTTTTTAGTCAAAAGCTGTTCCTTTATATACCACATTATTTGAATCATCTTAATAATCCTTTTTGATAACAAATGATTTTGCTATTCTATGTATATATTACTCATAAGAAACCATACTCTTTCTGAGGTTGCTGAATTAGACAGAATTGAAAAAAGTCTACAAGCAAGCTCTGTTAAATTTAATGCATGAAGTAAGATAGTTCATCAATATCTTAACTGAATTTTGGTAAGGTTTGAACTATTTAATAATTCTGCTTGAAAAGACCTTTCTGATTTTAATAATCTAACCATTCATCTACAAATGCATTATGATCTTTATCTGGATATAGTATACAGAATAAAGAATATGCATTTTTTTAGATTTGTAAAAATCTTGATGAATTAATTTCTTTTCACAATAATATAGATGCAAAAACTAAGTAATAAGAAAAATCAGATTGTAATTTTTTTCCAATGATTATCAATTTCATTGATTATTAAAGTTTTAAATTTACTTTTATTAGAAGGTAATTTATTAACAATTTCTCTTAACCATGCTCATGTTACTGCAACTTGTCTAAAAGTAGCTTGTTCAGATTTTAGAATCATAATAATATAATCATAAGATTTTAATAGATTATAAAATATTAAAGTCTTTTTTAAATTTCTGTATTATCTACAGCATTTATACACAATAATCTATTCTTTCATTGTAATCAAAAGGTTAGTATAGTAATTGTCATAATCTAATAAAAAAAATAATTAATTAAGGTTAATAGAATTTATAAATAAAAAATATATATCAAACTAACTTACTCTTATATTATTATGATATGATAAAATAGTTTTTACAACTTTGAAAAAGGTTACCTAACATATAATATAAAAATATTGAAGTGTTAATTCTGAATCTTGTGATATTTCTTATAATTTTACCAAAGTTAAATTTAAATTTTAAAAATAGTTGATAATCAATAAAGTATTTTGATAACTAGTTGATTTTATAATTTTTGATAAAAGATTTGTTTGATAAACTATATAAAATATGGTAATGACTTTTTCACCTATTTTCAAATCCTTTAATTTTAAAAATATATATTTAATATTTAGTTAATTTAATATAACAATATTAAAATAGACTTACTTTACATATAAGATATTATGCTTTAGCCATATCTGATCCACTATCAGATACAAAGCCTATTCACTTTTTAGCAAATTTCATTCTAACTTCTTTATAAGCATTGAATATAATATCTCTAGTATGGTGAATATTTAAAAAATTTTTTACTTTTTAGATTTGACTTTGATATTTTTTATTAGTAAGAATAAAACTAACTATACTTTATTTAGATATATTTATCCATCCATCTCTAGATAAAGTTAAAAATTTTGCATCTGCAGCAAATTTTTTATTTCAAATTCTACTTCTTCATGAACTTGATCTAAAACTTCTGTACTAATCCATTTTCTTGATGGAAGATTATATAAAGGTCATAATATTTTAAATAATTTGATGACTTCAGATTTTCTACAAAAGAAAAAGTAATATTTGCTAAAATTAATACATGTAATAATTGGCAATATATTATTACTGCTTTATTTGTAGGTATGTTTTTATCAACAAAAGATTCTATAGATTTTTGTGTATAATGAATTTCTAATTCATTTTTATCTGCTAAATTAAATAATAAAGAGTAATTATTTTTGTTTAATTTTTTAATTAATTTAATTACAATATTAAAATAATGATTATATTACCTTTATTATTTGTTTATCACATAAGAATACTTACTTTTTTATTATTATTATTTGTACTATCAAAATAAAGAGTATTTTAAATTTCTTTACTAACATTAGAACATTTTTCTTTAAAATATTTTAACATATTGGCAGATATACCACCCATTTTTTTAGAGTAATATTTGCATGTTGCTCATGATGAGAACTATTAAATAATTGGCCTTTAATAAAATGAAACCAAATAGGACTCTTTTTTCTACCCTATTTTTTTAGTGGCATTTTTCACTATATGCAAAAATTTAGATTCATCTAATGTAATCATTCAGTAATAAATTAATCAATTATATAATATATATTTATATTCAATTAATTATATTTGATTTAATATTAATAATTATTAACTACTTAATAATTATTTATTAATACTTATTAACTTACATAGATTAAAAAAAATTATGGGTTAATTAATAAATAATTATTAATTACTGATTAATTAAAATTAATATTTAAAAATTTAAAAAGTCCCATTATTGTTTAT